AAAAAAAAAAAAAAAAAAAAAAAAAAAAAAAAAAAAAAAAAAAAAAAAAAAAAAAAAAGAGCCGCGGATAAGAATGGAAGGTGCGCCGATACGAAACGATTTTTGTTTCTATATACTCCCCCACCCCCGTGGACCTGTACTCGACCCGCCTGACCTCGGTGGAGGACTTTTTGTTTTCGTTCGTCTCGAATCGACTCTTGCAACCGGAGAACTCGAGGAGATATCACCGACGCAACCGGTATTTTTCTCCCAACCCACGAGCACTCGCGTGCGTCTCTACCGTTAAAAGTATACACGTTTCTATTTTATTATTATTATTATTTTGTTTCTTCATGGAAGTATTTTGTATTCTGTTTGTAAAATGTTGTTTTCTACTTATTGTATCTACGTAGAATATGAATTTCGTTTTAATTAATTTACAATTTATGTATGAGGTATTTCTAAGAATATTTGGTTTAAGTATTATATTTGTTTGATTTTGATCGCCACAATGTGTTAGTAAAATAATAAATAGTACAAGCAAAAGGGTAAAATTTTCTAAAAATTATTTAATGGTTTGGTAAATTAATCATAGTTGGATGTCAAAATTCATTAATAAGACGTTACTTAAGATTTATCAATATAAGATGCCAAAAAATATACATATAAGTAAATAACTTTCGCAAAAGCCTCTGTTAGATTTACTGTTCTACTTAAAATCAAATTGATTAATAAATATTAAATAAAAATACATTAAAAACAGGACGAAATTTATTAAAACCATACCTTATAACAATATCAGTTAAAAAATAATTGCACAAATTCCGTTACTCTTATAAAAATCTAAAAATAAATATAAAGTGGTCGAGTCTGCGTGTTTATTTTCTTTTTTAAAAAGAAACACGATTAGACTGACTGTAATGCATGCATCAACAATTAAAATCGAATGGTTGGCTTGTCTCGCACTATGTACAATGGAAACGCATTAGCTGGCAAACAATGCTGTCCTTACAGTTCTTTACTCTTCTAATCTACTTTGCTTTCCAAGCAAGCGTCATAACAGTTAAAAAAGTTTTGCACTGTTCAACCATCAATATTGTCTTCACACACACACACACACACACAGAAACGTACTATAGATAAAAATTCTCTTTTCTAGTTCTTTTTTTCAGGTTAAGAGTTAAAAAATTCTATAAAAAAAAACAAGTAAAACCATCTCCTAATAAAAACCACCCAGAAGGGATTAAAATTATTTAAAAAATAAACAAAATACTATCTAAAAAATCAATACACTCTTAAATGCTGGCCTTGGCTTTTTTTTATCGTCTCCTAAGACTTAATAATATGGACACTTGAATTATCTCTTTTTTTTTTCTTCTTTAACATCCAACCAGTTCTGTTCAAACAACTATAAAAAAGAAGACACAAACATATGGACAAGTTTCTTCTTTTCTTTACCCAACACTTCATATTTCACTCTCGCAAACATAAATATACTCATAAAAAAAACATCCCACACAAGATTTAATTCAACATTTCCGTAGAAATCTGGCCTACGTTCAAGTGGGCCCTTCCATCTGTAAATTTGCGCTCAGCAATGCATCTCTAACAACTAACAGACAGAGACAGTGATATATTCATCCGACGTCATGACGTGGAGCAGTTTATTCCATTGGCGCGAGACTGTAAAAGCGAACTTTCTGGTGCGTACACACCTTCGGTCATTAGAAAATTTTTATTTTTTGTCTTTATACAATTAATCGCTGTCAGACAATAATCGAACAATAGTCAAATCTACTCTTGAAAAGTTTTGTCGATTGATTTTAAAAGAATGTATTAACCATTACAATAATACTATTGTCAAGACTGTAAATATAATAAGTAATTTTTTTTGTTACAAGAATTTTAAAATGATAATATTTCTCTCGATTATTTTTCTAATCTTGGTCTCATTAAATAAATTCTCAACTCAATAATTTTTAATAATAAATAATTTAAACATGTCTGTGAGTAATGCTACACTGATCACAATCACAAATAACCTGCCGATAAATGTCAAAATTGTTATTAAAAAAATTTTTTATGATTTCACATGAAGTTACTAAGGACGTCGTAGTCAAGCACCATACCAATTGGAAAACGATACTTTTCGTACCTCTGAATCGACAGAGTTGCACGTCAGTAGTATAAACTCTAAAAGATTTTGATTTTCAAAGAAAGTCGGAAATGGCGCAAAAACCACAAGTCAAAAATATAAGAATCCTGGAAAAAAGTCTCAAAAGCCGATAATAAAGATAAGTTAGAAAAACCAACTTAGTCAATGGGGGAGTTCACGAATAAAAAGGCCAGTCTACCGAGTTGGCCGTTGCGGCGCCGCGTCTCAGAATATCTTGCTCCACATCTTGACCATCTTCTAGAAAAAGTCCCTGCCCTGATGGGGACGGTTCGTCTGTTGAGGCAGTCTCCCGCGCCCTCGGCCTCCGTTACCACCTCCGCCACCACCACCACCACCTCCGCCTCCGCCAGAATTGGCCGGGTGCCGCCTCGTGTTACGAAGCTCGCGGTCCACCTCCATCTCCTCGAGCTTCATTGTCAAGCCGAGCTTCTGCTGGACGGCCAGACGCAGCAGTTGGTTGAGGGTCTTGCGGTCCTCCTCTGCCACGGCGAGCTGGCGCTTGAGTTCGTCTTCGCGCGTGGCGTTCTCCTCGCACCGGGCCACGAACATCGCGCGCAGACCTGCGTTTTTAAGGGTAGAGTTTTGTAGAGTTTCGTGGTTTGTTAGCCGGAAGGAGAGAACCTTTTGCTCATTATTATTATTAATTTTTTTTTTTTCGTTACCACCGTGCAATGAATAAGTAAAATTGGGGCCACCTATGGCTTACGTGAGAAACCAAAGCGATTTTTTTTTTTTTTTTTTTTTTTTTTTTTAGTTAACACGAGACAAGTGGAAAAGGAGAAAACAGGAACAGAAAGGATCAAGCACTAAGCCGTGCGGGAGAAGCGGTTTAGTTAAGTGTGTCGTGGAACCATGTGGTAAACCTGTACAACCGAATCGGCTCGATAGCATTGCAATTTTTTTTACGAAATAACAATCGTCGATGAATGTGTAAACAAAGTACCATTTGGCTTGTAAAACACGAGATTAACTCTTCGTCGCAGTAAGACTTGGGTGGAATTATTTTGTTGTTTTGTAAATACTTGAAAAGTTAATTTTTCGACTGGCACAAAGTGGACTTTTTTAAAAATTTTTGTACACCACTATTTACAATACCATGTTAAAAAATTTTTTTAAACAATAATAAAGTTTGTTCTTGACTACTTTCACTTTTTTTTTTTTTTTTTTTTCCAAATGTAGTCGATTGTTTTTTTTCTGGAAAAAATTTGTTAAGCACTGTGTCATAAGTGGAATTAAAAAAAAAATTTTTTAATCCAAGTAATGTGTAACTCAGTAAAAAATTATGCTTCAAAAAATTGAAAAAGTTTCAGTGCCCAAGTCTGGCTACAGTACAAAAATTAATGTTTTTTCTACTAAATCACACCAGCTAGTACTGTTAGTAAACCATGAAATCAGTATGTTACTCAATTAGTAAAAATCATACCATTATATCAACAACAACGACAATAACAAAAAACGTAAAGTGACGTCACACGGCAACGTAGGAACAAGTTTTGTGACAAACAACCAGCGCCAGGCCCAAATCGACGCTGACGCAGCTGAATATTATGACTAGAATGTAAGTAATTGCTGGTGTGTCGCGAGTATTAGATCCAATAGTGTATTCGTGTCGTGGTCGAAGCGTCAAGAAGCACAAAGTTAGTTCAAGCACATACGCATTAGTGGAAGGAAAAAAAAAAATGGGGGCAGAAACAAACAAATCATTAGAAGTTTTTCAATAAAATAATGCGTGATGTATAAGCTTCGAATGAACGGTAGAAAATAAAATTTGAAAGAAAAAAAAAAGAAAAAAACTCTGTTTATAGCACACCGATTCAACAAAGTTTTTGAAAAGCAAAAAAAAAAAAACAAAAAAAAAAAAAAAAACGAAAACAAAACGAAAAGTAATAACCAGTAGCAAATAAAAAAAAAAGTATTATTTTATAACGAGAACTTTGACAGTCCATAAATGGAAAAATGTACATTATTTCCAGAGAGCAACAAATTTTGTACCTTTGTATTCTAGGCGAAAAAATTTTTTTACAGCTGTACATCGATGCACCTAACGGTATAAATTATTTAATACTCATCAATTTGTTTTTAATTAATATAGCGATTCTTTGTTACATTCTGGACCTTTTATGGATAGTTTTATGTTTACAGCTTCAGAACAACATAATGGAAGCATCTTTTATCTCCTACATTCCCTGGGCTTGTCTTTTAAACGCTTACATATCTCATGCTTCAAGTTTTTCAGAGCTGGTATTAGATTACTTTCGTTATTTTTTTCATTATCAAAAGTAATGGTTGGAATAAAACTGACTTTCGGTTCCAGTTCATCTGTGACTTGACCAAATTTAGACAAAAGTCTTCTGCCCTCGGTAGACTGGGCACAGCTTTTTATACTCTCATACTCGGGTAATGTACTACCACAACTAACAAAATCTTGCGAGGGATGCGTATTGTCCTTAATCATACAAGCTATTAGTTTCAGCTGTTTTCTGGAATCACTGATCTTGTTGACAGTACATGCATGGTATATATTAGCTTCACACTCAACTGGTCCATGCTGACACTCAAATTCAAAGTCATTTTCAATAATTCTCGTCTTGGCCTTTCCATATGGAATCAATTGCAATTCGATGTAATCCTCAATACTGTTGAATGTTGGTACTAGTTGTTTTAGGATGAAATTTCTTGAGTCTGGGCACAGCGCCTCGTAGTAAACGTTCACTAATATTTGCTGGTTAACACTTTGCTTCTCAATCAACTCTCTTACTTCTTCTGGTTGTACCCCATACAGTGACCAGAGCTTGGAGCTCTGCCAGAACAATAGGATCACAAATACAACTAGTAGTAACTTAAGTCTCATGCTATTGATGGACTTCATTTTAAAAAATGTAATGATAATAAAGCTGCAACACTTGTCAATTTAATGCCAAATACTGTATTAGCACATGGTAAATAGTATTTTGACTAGATCATACATTAACAGATATTTAGGGCAAACTTCATAATAGTACATACAACTTTAATACTTGAACCTGAAAAGTAAATCTGATTATTAGCGTAATTCAAATGTGGCAATATTATTACTATTTTTTAAAATTAGTACATGTAACTATTACCTCACAAAAATATCTTTCAAGACTTTATCCTAGAATTTTAATGTTTTATCAATTTAATATTATTGTGTACAGCTGCCACTGAAATTGTTATCTGTCAGTCGAAATCAACGAAACAATTAACTGGTATTCTAAAAAGCATTAATAACAAAATTTGCAAATAAAAAGCTAATAAAAAAGAGAAAAAATTCAAATATAATAAGCAAATTTAAGATGAACCGTACCTAGTAATATTAGTGATAACACAGATTTGTTCACGTTGGCATGGTTTTAGAAATAGTCAACTTATCAGTCGTGGCGATAAAAATACAAATATCACGCGCCACATATTGCAGTAGTATATAATAATAAATGTACACAAAATAGAAGTTTAGGTTATGCCACCACTCATTTAACAGACGACCATACGGGGCCTAACTGCGACAGTAATTACATGTCGATCGTAGTAGTGTCGCAACAACGTATACCTAGTACGGGCAGCTCACTAGGGCACTTCGTTTTTTTCCACTCTTATATTCTTCATTCCTCTATTCTACACCAGGTTTTATACACAACACACAACTTTGTATGTACTTAAACTGTTTGTATGTGTTGGGTGTAATTTTTTTCTCCTTGTTTAGTAGTGCCGCATGCGGTTCTCTTTGCAGCTATGTGCCAACTCAAAGCTATGTGTTCTTTGCGTTATTTTTTAAAAGAAAAAGTAAGGGAAGGGCTGTTGCAAAATAGTTACTTTGAAATTTAAATAAATATAAGATGGATAATAAACTTTGACGTACAGTTTTTTAAGTTACAAATGATTATTATTATTATTCGTTCAAATTTATGTTACAAAATAAGTCATAATAATTACAAACAACATCGCTCCTTCAATTGTCATCCAGTACCTTGAATCTTATTATATTTATGTATAAATTCGTTCAAGATTTTTTTCATTGTCACATTTAAAAGAGACAAGTCTTTATTATCTTTTATGAGGGCTTTTGATTTTTTTTTTAATCTCTACGCATTTGCTGTCATTTTGTCTTTCATGAAAACAAAATTAGTGAAAATTGACATGTTGAATGCCTCAAATTTGTGTTTCGAGCCCTGACAAGAAATTATTTTCTCAAACATACATTACTTCGTCGCTTCCAGTGCATTTACACTATTTACAAGATACAATTCATTAATGGACCGTACTTCTTTTACAAAAAGATAATTCAACTATTTATGTTTATTCTACATGTCTCCAGTTCTATAGTAACAAAGTAACTAATAAATACGTATGTAGAATAAGTTTCATTCATGAAATAGAAGAAAAACTAATTTAAAATTATTAAATATTAATTAATTAAAATTACAGTATTAGACAGACATCATAGTATACGTCACTATTTATACTTTGAAGCAGAGCAACACTTAAGACTAAAGAAGTGTAAAAAATGTAGTTCGTAATGCTAATTTCAAAAAGAATGCATTATAAAGTTGTAGTAAAACGTCCTATGATATTTAATAAGAAAATCGTCAAATCAACGTATCTCTATCGATACATGTATAAAAATTACGTTTACATATGAGATGACAAGTACGTCAAATATAATAAAATTCAACAAACGCCACATCAAAATGATCAAAGCGAGTCTAATCATTACACAAGTAATCATTAACTTTTCGCTGTTATTAATTTTACTCCGTTTGTGCAACCTATGTTTTTTCCAACTACATTATTATTGTAAATATATCTTTACTTTTTTTTCTCGTTAATTGCTAAATATTCTCTTCTACGTAACTACGCCTGACACCACCGCAAGAACGTAAACAAAACTATATTCAAACAGGATTACGGCACTCAAATGTTTAATTTTATCATGAATATTACTGTTTTTCAATTAATCATAGAAATCAGTGTAGGTGTCGATATCGACATGGAGGAACTTTTCCTTATGGACGATACGTGCGTTCGAATACACATAATTTCATGAGTTGTCAAGGCTTGTGAATTTTTTAAATAGCTTACAAAATGGACTTGTCATCCAGTACTAACAGATCAAAGTTACATTACCATTTGACATTCCATTCCTTCAAATTAAAGTTACTGTTTATTATACAATAATTTATTTTTAAAAAATGCCTTAGATAATGTGTCAGTTCTTTTGATGTTACAAAGTTTTTCAAATCGAAGTATTATTGTCTAATGTGGAAACAATTGATTTTTCATTTTTATTCGATTTTAATGATTCACTGCTCATATGGCTGAACTGCGGAGAAAAAAAGTACAAAACTAACCAGATAACCATTCGATAACAGTATTTCATATACGTTCGAAAAATACAGCAATATCATTAATATTAATTTACAAGTTCTAAAGTAATATATACATGTATATAAATATTTATAACTTTTTATTTATAATATAACAAGGGACGAAATCACTGTATATTTTATTTTTTTTATATATATGACAAGTACAGCTCTAACGGTGGTGTAAGGAGGGAAGGACAAAGAGGGGACGGTGCTTTGAGGCTCGGTTTGGTTAATGGACATTAAAGCGATAATCTCCGCTCGACGTTCGGATGAGGCTTTTAGAAATGTTCTCAATATTTTTTTTTTCTTCAGATATAATTATAATGTTCAGAAAACAATGACTCATCCGTCCATCATTATTACAAGGTTATACTACGTGTCTACAAATACATGGGTTTTATCTTGTTTCCTCTATTATGATCTATTTTTTTTTACCTCTGAGCGGAGTTATCGCCACATTTTACAATCATCATTCACAATACAAACATACTCAACAGCGAATAATTGTTGGCATCGATGAAAAATATTATTCTCATTAGAGCAGCTGACGAAAATTCTCATGTATCTATACGTATTTCATTTCATTTGCTCATTGCTTTTGTTTCTTTCACCTTCAGCACCTTTATTTCTTACATATGCTTTTTTACACTCATTTGAATGATGAGTGAGGTCATAATAATAATAATAATAATAATTAATGTTGCAGATAAATGGCATAAAAAATAATTATTGGTAATTAATTGTCATCAATATAACTTCAACAATTTCATTGTATTTTCAAGCATATGTACATTGTTATTTCAACAAATTTATTTGAAAGGTAATAATTTTTATTTCCAGAAAAAATTGCAAATCGATAAAACAAGATTTTTTTGGTTCTGGTCACTTGAAAAAAAGTATTTAATAAATACTAATTATCAGTCGAAATCANAAAAAAAAAAAAAAAAAAAAAAAAAAAAAAAAAAAAAAAAAAAAAAAAAACGAAAACAAAACGAAAAGCTACGTACTCGAAAAGGTGGCCGCGTTCTCCTTGAGGGTCCTCAATTCGTTCCTGAGCTTGAGCATCGTCTCGTTGACGATCTTCTTCTCGTTCTCGTACTTGCTCTTGAGATTACTCAGAGCGACCTCGGCGGTGTTCTTATTGGACTTGAGCACCGTCCTCAGGGTGGCTATCTGCTCGCGCTTGGCGGAGAGCAGCGCCTTCAGTCGGAGCACTTGCTCCTGGAGCTCCGCGACCTCCTTGTTTTCACCAACGTTGGCTAAACGAACCGCAACAAGAGACATTAAACTCCCAATCTCACGTGACACGTGAGAGAGACAAACATGCAGTTGGCTCACCCTCGCACATGGCGCACATGCCGGTCTTCACGCCCTTCAGCTTCGACAGCTCGATCGTGTGCTCGACGGCGTTCCTCAGATGCTTGATCTGATCCATGGCCGTCGAGATGCTCCTCGTGATCTCCTTGGCCTTGCTCAGACTCTCGAGGTCTTTGATCTTGATGTCGGTCTTGAAGAGCGTCCGGCACCACTCGATCTTCCCGCTGTCCTCCTCGTTGTCGGGCGCTGTCTTCTCGTGGTCGAGAATCACCTGAGGCAAAAGGACCCTCCCCCCGTTAACTTTTGCACGGGCCATCGATTAGCCAAAAAAAAAGCTGATACTCACCCTCGAGGGCGTCTCGCCGTTGACGGTGCATACGTGATGGTACAGCTGGGCCAGTTCGTCGGACATGTTCTGCAGGTCGTTCTGGGCACTCTCGAGTGAGCCACCGGCCTCGGCTGCGAGCTTGGACAGGGTACTGACGTCCGACTCGAGCAGCATGCTCCTCTGCTCGGTGTCCAGCAGCTGAAACGGGATGGATCGTTACAGGACGCGGTTTTTTTAGGCGATGGAAGTTTGATAAGCTTTGGGTGTTCATTGCGGGTCACTGCATGGCAATGCTTTTCAGTATCTCTTTCTTCGAGCAAGTGAGGGATTTTTCAATGCTTTCGTGCGTTTCTGGGTTCTCGTCATGCCACGTTAGCGGAAGATGAGGCGATTATTGACAGACGCGAGAAGACGGAGGATCTGGAGTCACAGTCATTGCGATAAGCCTCAAGTTTTTTCATTTCTCGCAAGCACATTTGTTGTTTTTTTTTTTTTTTTCGGATGCGTTTTAGTAGTCGTGGCAGCGGAGTCGATGCATCATGTTTTAATGACAATGTTACGGTACTCGGCTTAATTATGGTGCCGTGTCAAACTCTTTTTTTTAAAGTTAAAGCGGTAAAAGTATTGCATCTCTAGTTTTAACTAGAGAGAATAATCATACTCTACACACAAGGCGTTGTTAGGACAATGGCAGGCTGTAAGGTAAATCACGAGGTAAGGCCAAACAAAATACAGTATGAACATGAAAAATGTGTAAATACATCGGGACCACTCTCTCCGACCTTTGCCTGGAGGCTCTTTTGTGTTACTGGTATCTGAAATTTCACAAGTTTGATTAAGCCACTCGGATGTGCTCGAACAATGTTTTCGCCACAAGTTATCTCACGAGAAAAAAAAAATTACAAAAATAATGACAATGATATACAAAAGTCCAACCACCGACATCACCTAAATTTAGTGGTATCAAGTGGCATAGTTTTTTTTTTTTCACCTTATTCCGAAGATTCGTGAGTTCCGTCCTGAGGTGTTGGGTCGAGTCTGAAATCGTGAGGCCTTTCTCGAGCTCGGCCAAGTCCTTCTGAAGCTGTTGAACCTCCTGAGCGGACATTGTGCTCCATTGATGGTACTGTATGACGGCCTGCGAAGAAAAAAGCTCGATCAACGAAACGTCCTTTCCCTTTGTTTCCAACCGGTGATACCAAAGAAAGAGGGTAGGAAAGAGTAGGTCAAAGCGTCATTGTTCCTCACCAAATTGAGTTTATCCAGAGTGGCCTCGTCGTTCTGCCTCTCGGGCAATTTCGAGTGAATGTGCTGCAACGATTGCACATGGGCCGCCAACTGCACGATACGGGCGATAAAAGACTGCAGCTCGGCCTGGCTCTTTTCCACCGCGTGCTGCGACTCTTTCAGATTTTGGGTCAACATTGCCTTATCCATCTCCGCCATTTCCAGCTGCTTCTCCAGCTTCTTCAGCTCGTTCAAGTGGATCTCCGAGAAGAGGTCGACCTAATCACAAAATGGATTAACGATTTCTCTCTCTCTCTCTCTCTCTCTCTCTTTCTAAAAACGGGTCAATCGATTGTTTGGGATGTGTCGAATGTGATTTTTGTCATCACATCGGGAAAAAAACAATTAAATCTCCACCTGCTTGTTCACCGTCGAAGTGCCCGGCTCCTGCGTCTTCAGATCGTCCTCGATCCTCCTGAGCGCAGGCGAGTCGTCCTCCCCGTCACTGCACATCGTTTGGTCGTCGGTGATCCCACGAATGGAGAGCGCGAGGTTGCTCAGGTTGTAGATCGACTCGCTGTTCATCCTCTGGTCGAGCTCCTTCTTCAGGACGTACTTGGCCTCGCGCTCCGCCTGCAAGGACTCGAGGGCCTCCTCCATCTGTTTCTCGGCGATCTTCTTCAGATTGGCGAGCTCCTCGACTTGGCTGTTGAACAGCTCGACCTCCTCGGTCAGCCGGCGTATCTCGTGCTTCGCGCCTTCAAACTCCACTTGGCTGGAGCGCAGCGTGGCCACCTGCTTCTGCAGCGAGATGTTCTCGTCCTCGAGCTCCGTGTAGTCCTGGAGGAGTCGCGTCTCCCGGAAGCGGCACTCCTTGAGCTCGGAGCGCAGGTTTCGCCGCTCCGACTCGACGAGCGAGTGGTCCTTGCCCACGTCGTCGCGCTCCTGCAACGCGTGGTCCCGCTCTGCCGTCGCTCGCTCGAGCTCGTGGTGAAGCTGTGGGCAAAACGACATTTCGTCTCCGTCTCGATTGCAATTTTCATCCGAGTTTGTGGCTCACTTACCTGCTTGACTTCATTTTCCAGCTCGATTATTTGGGTTTGGAGGCTCGTCTCGCGCGCCGCGCTCTCGCTCAGCAGGCTCTCCTCTTGCTCTATGCCCGTGCGTCTCGTCAATTTCGTGGTCGTTTGGAACTTGGCTAGCGCCTACAAACGGTTCCCAAGGCATTAATACTTTTTACTTTTTAACTCGTATTTTTTTTTTTTTTTTTTCCATGATTACTTGTAACAACAGCAAAAAATGGCAGTTGTTGTGTCGGTATTAATCTTATGGATTCAACAATTGAAGCGAGTACAATTGACCCAAGCGCAGAGTGGAGCGCAATCCTATTTTGAGGTACAGTAGAGTAATAACGCCAAAATAGATACACAATGGAATTCGAGCATCCCGTGAGTACGTATCCTACCAGCGTAAAATATCGATCTCTTTGAGATTGTGTAACGGAGAAATTCATCAAAAATGTTTTCAAAGAAAATAATGCTGTTATTGAATTTGAAAATAGCTTTGGTTGATGTTTAAACTTTCGGATATAGGCCAACAAAACGCTTAACTGTATGCTATTTGATTTGTGTACAAAATTTTACTTTGTAATTTTATTTAAAGTTCATACACTCATTCCTAAGTACACATATTAATCGTAATTTTATGGTATTTTATAATGTATTACGATTATAATTTGTTACACATGTTCTGCTTCTTCGTAGAGTAAATTTTGTGTAGGTCAATAATAATCATTTTATAAGAACGTGTTAGAAATAGGTGTGATCGTGTAAAAAATTTAAACGTATAGTTTTAACAGATGTGGTACTAAAACAGATGTGTCCATCAGTATATGTTACTGTGTGTTTGTGTATGAGGACACGTTTACTTACATACTTAAACATGTTTCGAAATTTCCTGAAGCTATTTTCATAATTCATGACGTGACATTATTGTTTTATACACGCTTACTGCAGCTTGAAAATAAATTTTTTTCGTACAGTTGGTTTTGTTTTAATTTTTAATTATCAGTTCTCAAATATGTGCATACACTGTATTTTACGGTGTCTTAAAAACCAAAAAAAGTGTAGAAATTTTTAACAATAACCATTCAGGGTGTAAATAAACTGTGTGTAATTTGTAGTAAAAAAAAAATTGAAAAAATTCACACATTTTCAGTTAAAAGTTATTGATTTCTCTGCGTTGTGAGAAAATCATTAAACATCCTTAAGACTAGTATTCTCAGTTTTTAGTGTAGAAGGTACGTAAAATAGCCAATCATTGTGTAAAATTTAACTACCTGGTAATATGTAGTACTGCTTTTACAATGTAATTCTTTCAAAATCTGAAATTTTGGTTCATTAAATTTGTTAACAATTTCGAATACAAATTATATTGTTTTATCGATATTTAATTTTCAATCACCTGTAACGTTTTTTATTTTTTAATAATTTTGTTATTATATAATGGGTTTGTTATTTTTTAATAATAAAATTTTAATCTCCTACCACTATTATGATTTAAAACTAAAAACATTTGAATATGAGTTACAAAAAATGAATAACTTAATTAATGTAAATTACAAACTTCAATAATTTTGAAAGATTAAATAATTTTTATGGTAAATTCAAAATGTTGTTACAAATCAGTTACGTGAATGCATACTAGATAATAGAAAAATTATAATTTTATCAAATAATAATTGCTAAAAATTTATCAAGTCCCCAAAAACATTAAGTAATACAGAGATCTGTATAATGACCTTGACAACTTGATTAATCTACATAAGTATGCTAGAAACTAGATACACAACGGGTGCGGCGTACTACTAGCACTTTCGAAAAGCAACCGAGTTTGGTGGCTAGGCTATTATTATGAATTGTAATTTTTTCGCCTTAGAAAAATTTTAAAGCATAAAAAAGAAAAAAAATGAATTGTAAGCATTATTTTATAGATGATGTTTTTTTACAGGATATTTGATGCCAAATGTTTAATACTAACATGGAAAATGAAGCCCCTCATGAAAGGTAAGTGAGAAAAAAATTACAAAATGATCGAATAAAAATTTTCCAGTATTTATAAAGTTAGGCATACAATGAAAAAATGCTTTTGCAGTAAGATATGTTTATGTTAATTATAATTTATGTTGATTACGTTGAACTTTTATCTTTTAAACTATTTTCTACTTAATTATTAGAAGTGAGATTTTATTTTTAACAATAAAACATCTTAAAAAACTTATATTATATTATGACGTTTAGTTTGTTTATAACTGGGCATAAAAATTCTAGTATTTAGCTGAATAATATACCGAGGTGACCACCCTCATTATTTTTTAATGTACCTTAAAAAAAAAATACGTAAGAATAGTTACAAGTACATCAGTGGAATTCGTTAACGAATAGGTACAACATAGTCCTAATTACTGTTTTTAATCGATTGTCTACGTGGAAACATTAATGAGAGTATCGAGTTATGTGTTGAAAACATGTATCTACTGTAGCCGCTCCATACTGACACGCCGGCATAAAAAGGTTAAAGTTACGGCAAAGCAATTTATCGAACATTCGGTAACGTACCAATGCGTATCTAGTCAAATTAACTTTCAAAAATTTAACGAACCCAAAATTGAAATTCCTCTGTGTGAAATGTTTTATTTTCTATGCATTAACAATTTTTTTCCTATTATTGAGTACAATATTTTCAAATAAAGTTTAAAAAAAATTATTTTACGCAAGTTTTCTTGCGGGTGCGTAACTTAAATTTTAGTTTATCAGTTCTGTTAGTGACGGGTGATAAGCACTAATTTTAAT